ATGTTAAAGCAAAATATGGGCATTTAATGAAATTATAATATTTATTCACTATGGTCCTCTTTTAGCCATACATGTACGAAAGAAATGTTCTCTCAACATTTCCAACATTTATTCATATTATCTTGGAAGCAATAGAGGGTTGACATTCATTAACAGTCTCTAAGCTTCCTCAAAGCCAAACATCTGCTCTGGCGTCCAACGATGCTCACAAACTTTTTTCTTTAAAGGAATGTCTGCTGAGCCCTTATTAGCTTCATTTGTGCTTTATGACTACCCTTTAAGTAGAACATTTATTTAGAGAAATCCTTAAAGTTTAAGACAATCCTAAAAGATTCGAGAAGTAGACTCAGAAAGTAAATAAATCCTTTATTTAATGTACTCAAGTTATGACAGAAAGTATGTGAAGTGTCCCTCTAGACCTCTCCTTGGAGGGTCCCCTGATGGACTAAGGTGAAAGGTCCCGCCTGGATGCCACTCCCGAGTGACGACACTCACTGGGGTCAAGTGTTTTTTTTTATACGCGGCAGGGAAATTGCCTAAAAGGGGGTTAAAACTTTGATTAGAGATGTTGCAAGGAGGGAAACATGCTGACTTCAGTTTAACTTCTGCTTTTCTGAAGACATGAGCACATAAATTATGTAGAAGACGGTGATTACTAGACAGTCTAAAAGCTGGAGGCTCTAGGCCAATTTTCAACCAACTGTCACAGAATGTAAGTTTCAATATATGTTTAAACTAAACTGACAACTACAGAAAAAATGTAAAATTCTTTGAAAGGCTGGGTTATGGGAACTGACGAGGAACTCAGAAACCACATGCTATTTAACACACGGCAATACTTCACTGCATGCTCCAACCACTCTCTTCTGCAGGGAATATTAACAGAGGTGGAACAGATGCTTCCCCAAATTAAGTTAATCCAAGCACTAGACAGAGTCTTCCCAGAACACTGTGGCCAACACAAATACAGTTCATCCAAAAAAAAAAAAAAAAAAAAAAGGC